CTTTTGACAGAAAATGCGTTTAGCCTATCCGGATAATAACTATCTGTCCATCACACTTTAGTGAGCTCTTGTTCTTTTCATCTTGCTTTGTTCCCATCTAATACTGTGGGTGGTTGTGGCCCGTTTCGACAACGGAACAGGGATCTCGGCCTCCGTAGTCAATCTTTCGAGCTTCTGTGTAGCTTGTCAAGAAGTAGCGGAACAAAGTCTGAAAATGAAAGGCCTCCCGAGGTATGTAATGCCTCTCAAGCCGATGCCTCTCGCCATGCGGGCTCTGATTTTTGCCTTGTTCTTGGTTTGATATGTCAGGAAGAATTTCAATCCCGCCCGCCAAGTCGGAACGACGGAGCCGATAAGAACGAAGATTCCGGACGCGGCGGTAAAGGCGACGGAACAGATTACGTTCCCCGCCTGCCATGTATCTGCACGCTGCGCTCGACGCGCGGGCAGGAAGAAAAAAAAATCAAACAACCCTGCCGCGGGTGTTTCTTACCTGATTTTCCGGCAACTCATTACTTACAGGCACCGATTATTCATTAATTATTCTAACTGCCGCGATCGTCGGGAGGTCGGGGTCTGCGATTGGCGGGATGCAACTCCATCAACCGCCCATGTGCGCGTGGGCGCTTCGTCACAATTCAATTAAGTTGACGTCCAAACTCGCACAGCATACAGCGAATCTGACAACTGACTGCAACTGTTTCAAAACTGTTGCAGTGGCCAGATATGTACATAGACACAATTTTCCTCTGGTGGATTCCCGTGAAATCTTCTCCTACATCTCCGAGTCTCGGGAAACAATCTTGGCGCTACAATGTTCAAGATTGGCGCCTCCGCAGACATTTTCCCCGACCTGTTTTCGGACTGATCCATAGGCATGGCAGATCATGACAACAGTATGACAACTCTCCGATGTCAGATTTGCCTAATCTGGACTCAGGCGTTGACTATGCGCCTATGCACTGCTTGCGGTTTCAAGGTGACACCAACGCATTGTGCTGTCGTCGAGGTGGGCTGTCTCATCCCTTAGCATCTCGACGCGGACCGCCGCTTCACATTTGCATACTAGCTGCATTCGTTTCAGACTGGATACCCCAGCGTGACCCCGCGGGGGTTGAATACTGGTGGTTTGCACTGTTTTAGGCCGACGGCCAGCGTCCGTCCATGCTTCTGTCCCTCTGCCTCCGAGATCCCTCTTCCTCCGCAAGTCAGCTTAAAGGCAAAGAAGTAACCGATCGCCAAGCTGCCTCAACGCTTACGGGGTTCAAGTCGCGTAAAATGGTTTCGGGCTAGGTCATTGTCCTGCAGAGTCGCAAACCCCGCGATTTCAACGGAAGACGAGGTTCTTTTCTGCCCAGGAGCTCTGATTATGGCTTGACGCTATCATTGACATGAGCGCCGCATTCTGGTGGACCTTTTCCTGCTGATCTGGCCAATCAAATTCCTGTTGACCCACATGAAAAAAAAATGGTTTCAAAATGACACGCGATGCCCTCGGTGGTCAAGAATCAAGTTCAAATCGGCGACTTCCTCCTCTCCGAAGACAAAAATTCGGCTGACAACCACCCCTCTTCCTGTGCCCCTCATGTTCGTGATCCTTCGTAGCTAGTTTCTGATCCGTTCTAATTGGGAGACCAGACCCGCCGACTCCATTCATTTCTGAGCAAGCCCCATCTTCCGACACCGTACTTGTCCGTGCTGTCCAACAAGGGGCGCTCCCCGTTGGACCGTTGGACCCCCATTCAATCCCCTCCCTCCACCGATCTCCACCGTGCGTATTACAGAATCTCCGGCGTTGCGGCGTTGGGCTTCCTGCCCTGGAACCCCGACTAAGAATATTACGCAAGTATTCATCGATATCGCGCCCGCACAGGGTTCACTCCGGGCAAATCCACATGCGACTTGCCAAATTAATCATGTTCGCAGAGAACCACACTAGACCGAGGCCCCGGCGATCTTCAAGCTCTATCTGTGCGCCGTCGAACAGAAGTCTCGAACCCACACGGACCTCCGCCGACACATCACGATATTCCGCCCTGACCACACCGTTTGTGCGCTCATTTTACGTGTCACGGAATTTTGTGTGATTCTCGGGAATGAATTAAGCATCTTCTAGCAGTATATGCCCTTCAAAAATGCGTAGCGCTTCTTGGAGCGTGATCTTTTACGTAGAGTTGGCGGTCGCCATCTCGGAAGGAGTTCAATGTACCTCACTGGCACGTACCGGCGTAGCAATTCGCCCTTCAATTTGCGGGACCGAGGCCAGTTTCTGAAATTGAGCGGCTGCCTACCCATTTTGAACGAGCCCGAGATGCCCGGCGCCAATCGGGTCAAGACTCAAGACTCAAGTTCAAGTTTGAACTACGTCGCGGGGCGTCTTAATGGCCTTTGGTTATAAGGTAGTTATAAGTAAGGGACTTTCAGGTTATAAGGTGCTAATAAGAGCTTATAGTATGAAAGTCCTTCAGTTAGTTTTTCTAACACTGGTGCAGTGGTGCTTTAGCTATCCTCCATGCAGTATTTCCGGGTCCCCAATATTGTACAATTGGACAATTGGATACGGAAAATCAATCGATTTTCCTCACGATGCCGGTCCATGCCGGGCGGACAAATAGAGGGAACATCAGACCAAACCCATGCAAAGACGGCCGTCGTCAGCAGGCTTACTCTATTCTTTCCACACCCACGGCCACCTGCATTCCAGGCACGGTGACCCAACAGAGCGTCACTAAAATGGTAAACGTAAGTTGTGCGATGGTAATTCTGCTTCTGCACTCGACTCGCCGACGCGCAACTTATTCACGAATCTGGTCATATCTTCTAAAATCAATGCAAGCCGACCGAACGCCACTTTGACCCTGACCGAGCGCAAGGCGCGCAATGGCACCCAAGACCAATTTCAGAACATGGAAGATGGAAGAAAGTTGAACCACCAGCGCAGCCTCGCAACAGAAGAAGAGGACATTCTAAGCTGAGTTGTCACACAGTCTCAAGGTACTCATTGCTGTTTATAGTGGCTCGAACTATTCCAATATCCCTTTGTACGTCTGCAGTGGGAAGCGGCACTCGGCGCCTGGTGGGATTTGCCTGATTCGACAGATCGCTCGCGTGGACCAACGATTGGGAGTCCGGGCTTAAAATCCTAATCCAGTTCGAGCTTGAGTTCGTGATCGTCTTGGCGCGGCCGTTCCTCCCATGTGCATCTGTTGTTGCTTCTGGGCCTCGCGACACACCAGGAAGGTCCCGTGTTACGTCGGAGGCCGTCGGTATCTCTCTTCAACTCTCAATTTCGGGCCCGTAACTTTGAAGTTGAGGCTTAGCATTTTTTTCGACCTCTTGGAGCGGGTTTTCTTTTGAACCCCCGTCTAATACTGACCTAAAACCCTCCTCTTACTGACCAGAAAACTTCCACTCAGACTCCATACTTGCGTTATCTCTCCCGGCACTTCGGCAGAGATTTTCAAGGTTGTCATCATACTCGGTATCTCGAGGGATGGTTCCCCCAGCCGCGGTACGGGCCTCCCCTGACCGCCGGAACCTCCCCATGGTCTTGGTATTGGTGGACAACCAAGGCCTGGTATCGCGCAAAAAGGACTCACGCCGTCACTGACATTTTCCCCGAGCTTAAATTCGGGGCCGCTGGTTGGTTTGATATGTCGCCCAATTAGGCTTGACGGAGGCTTATCTGTTGGACACTCCGCTTCTTTGCTTCGACGTGTTCCCACCCTCTTTCAACTTCCTTCAACCAGGTATGTAACCATTCATCCTCCGAGTCTAGTGCGGACCACCTTTCGTCTGCCATGTGGCGTTGTAGTCTAATCTGCTGTCTCTTCTGCGTTTTCTGGCGACTTGCCCTGATTTTCCTTGTCGTCCTACGTCTCGTCAGCCGGGACCTTTACCACCTCCTATCCCGCTTTGCGCCGTCGTCCCGGTGCTTGGTTCTGGATCGCGATTGGTCGGTAGCGAACGGGAAGCGTGCGCGGATCCATCCATTTGGAGCCGAGGTTCATCCATTCCGGTGGAAAACCTCCCGCAGACCCAATCCAGCGGCCTGTTCGGCGACGTACCGATCACCTGGTTCAATGCATACTCACTAGAACCATTCGCACACAAACGTCCTTCCTTCAGGCCCTGACTCGAGATGCGGCAGCCCATGCCGCTGGAAGACTCCGCGCACCAAGCCCGATGCAGCGGTTTGTTCATCGAAGTCCAATGTGCGGGTGTGGTACTCAACGAATGGTAGTGACTGGGGATAGTCTTGGCCAGCCTTGGCCTTGTCATTGGTTAGAGTGCGCTTCCGACTCTCTCTGAGGTTTGGCAGCAACCCACGGCTCCGTCTATGTAGCACACGACTAAATATATTCTCGCGAGGGCCTAAATAGGGAAGCGACCACTGGCATCGCCGTTGTCCAATCTTCGGCGTACCGCATGGGATTAATCTCAACCGTAACAAGGGATATACGGTCTCTCGCACGCGAAACACATGCTCACAACAGTTATATGTAGTTTCCTTTCTTTCCTCGGCGGCTTTTTGGAGTCTGAATACCCGCGCTTTCGGTGTGCCTGATTATTGAATTTGGATTTTACTTCATGGCTTACAGTTTTCTCCACGGAACTCCTTCTGCTCACAATGATGCAGAACACAATTGAGATTCCCATCTCTCAACGGCGCAAAAAATATGATAGCGCATGTCCTCGCGTGCGGACCTACATTAATATTGGAATACCCGTCAATAGCGAGATATTCAGCTCCGAATAGTGCTCAGCTGTCGCTCCACTGGTCCCTCCAATTGACTGCTGAATTCTCCCTATGCTTGCAGCAGGTTACGCAAGAAATATATCGAGGCAACGTACTAGTGATTTGCCAGCTCTGCTGTGCAAGCGTACCGGAGAAGAGTGCAGTGCAGATACAGACACCTCGCGCTTATACATAAGGAATGTAGACATGTAAATCCGAGGTAGAATTTTCTGGGTAAAAGGTTGCAACAAAAGAACATGACTGCATTAAGAGGGAATCGAACCCCCGGCGGGTCGAACTCAACGATTACCAAGTTCTTTCTGGCAACGACCCAGGTTACCACTACCCCATTAATGCTGTTTAGGATGCCAAGACGAAGTGTATATGGTATTAGAAAGATTGTTTTCCCTTTCTAATTTACCCACGTACACGAACTGAGTTCCCCCATTAATGATTCCAGTGGGCTGATGAGGGTGTCCCCGTCATTTATACACTTGCGGCATCAAATGCGTGCATTTTGAGGTGCGACCGGCGAGGTTGAAACCCCAAATCCATCTATCCGCGTTGCCATCAAACAAATGGAACCGTGGGAAAATACAACGAGAGGGCTGATCATGCATATGCACCGGACTTTGCCCAAAATATTGTCTAGTTAATATTTGTCCGATACAAGCTGTTTTGGTGGTGTATTGACCACATATAGACCAAATATTCGCAAATTTTATACACAGCCAATATTCGCCGTTAAAAACGACCGTATACGCAGGCTACAAGAAGCCATCAGAGGTATTCTCTGTTTGCCAAACAGATTATATCTGGGAAATACACGGAGTATTGGCGACATATTTGCTGTTTACTTTATATTTTGCTTATATTCGCCATATTGGCAGTTTTATACTCCAGCCAAAGGCGACTGATCAGTCGCCGTTTGTTTCCCAGCTGAGCGCCAATTTAAACCGGCACCCTCGTGCTCAACCCGAAGAACATTGTGTAAGGTCCATAGCTTTGTTGTTGCTCTACATGAGGCCCTTGGCAGGGTGAATGCTATATGCTTGAGTCATGACACGTAGATTTGCATGGAGGCTGGCAGTCGGTGTTCATCATCCTCCGAAACCAGCACATCACGCTGACGGATGTAGGCCCGGCCTCTGGGTCCACGCGACATGACATAATCCGATGGACTCAGTCTAAAAGTCCTCTTTGTTGATATATTGCAACCCTTAGAGCCGACGGGTGGAAAATCATGAATGCTGAATTTGAACTTGGCCTTCCGGGGGGACAACGGTCAGGTGAGGGCCACGGTATCCGTTCGACATCCATCACTCATCGGCTCCGATTTTTCCAGCACTTCTGCGTTTTTAAAACCGATGAATCTCTGTCCCGTCACCCGGACAATGTGGCTAGCAGCGGAGATCACACCTCAAGGAGCGACATCGCACCCACCATTCATGATCACGACACCATAAATGCTTGGCGTTCCTGCTTCCCACGGTTCAGACATAAAGTGTAACAAGTTGGCATGCAGATCCCGGAGACCGGGTGGGTTATGCCTGCTACCGGCCTTCAGCTAATAAAGCCCAAACATAGTTATGGTCGATCACCCTAGCATTGTGGCTGTCAACAGTACCGTCTCATACTGCGAGTCCCCGTTAGTGGCGGCATCGCAATACTATTTTGCTATTCAAATCTGAAAGACGGACACAGATGAATGCTCGGCGTTCTCACGGTTCAAAAATACCACAATGGTTCAAAAATAAATTACAACAACAGGATGGGGTCGGTGTCCAAAGACATCCGATGCCTGGCATGGGTCCGCTTATTCAATTCTGGGGGTGGATCTGTGTTTCCGGGGCTGAGCCCCATCAACTAATCACATCTGGCAGAAAATCTTGCCTGAATTACCCATGTCGCGGCGAACCTACATCCACTTGGTTATGGAGACATGCCCTTGTTAAATATTCGATATTGTGTTTGTCCATCTTTTTCTTCACTTATGGCTGACGGGAGTTGGAATGAGAGGGGTTAAACTTTCGGTGAAAGTTGATTGTCCCAGGTGGAGTCGGTGGTCAGTTTATGTCTGAAAGCCTCTCTCCCTCGCTCATTGTTTTTTTCGGATCAAATCGTGATGTGAGTTTGAGGTTGCACATCAAGCAACAGTTATCACATTGAGGAAGGCCTGTGGCGCTGCCGTGCACCCTCCCAACCGGAAGAGGGCACCCGTTCGATTCGGGGTCAGGTCATTTGTAGGTAACACCTGGACCATTTTGGAACATATCTCCACATGACTTTTCCAATTTGAGTCCGGGATCAGGTCGTGGGCCTCCCCGATATCTTTTGCCCCTGGTTTTTCTTTGGTTCAAACTCGAAAATTCTGTGCACACCAACCCACAGTTATCAACCAGGGAAGGAAGACCTGTAGCGCTGGTGCGCACCCTCACTCAATAGACGAGCATTGGCAAAAGTTCATGAGGGCACCTGTTCGATTCGGGGCGGGTCGTCTGCACTACAACACAGAGGAGGAAGACCTGTAGCGCTGGTGCGCACCCTCCCTCAATAGTGCGATAGAAACAAATACAAGGGGGCACCCGTTCGATTCGGGGTCAGGTCATGCGGTGATTGGAAACTCAACTTTTTTCTGTGTGCCGTCTGAACCATAATTTCTCAAGTCAGAGGTTGAAAATTATGTACACCAAGCAACAACTACAGCACAGATGAGGAAGACCTGTAGTGCTGGTGCGCACCCTCCCCCAATGGTGTGATAGACCCCATTGACAAATACAAGGGGGCACCCGTTCGATTCGGGGTCAGGTCATTTGTGAAGTGCGACTGAGTTGTTTTCCTCTCACTTGTTTTGGTTCAAGTTATGTGCACAAATCAAGCCTAAGAATCAAATAGGAAGAAAACCTGTAGCGCTGGTGCGCACCCTCCCTCAATAAAACTCTGTCACCGTGGCATGTATGGGGGCACCCGTTTGATCTGGGGCCAGGCCGTGGTCTTCTCTTCTAGCCCTTTTTTCACCTCATTTGTTTTTGGTTCAGGCTCGAAAATTACACTCCCAAATCAAGGGGAAAGAGTACAGGGGAGGAAGACCTGTGACGCTGGTGTGCACCCTCACTCAGTAGCCATCCGTAAAGCCTTGTAGGAGGACACCCGTTCGATTCGGGGTCAGGTCATAGGGCCCCTTTTCAAACTCTTTTTTTTCATTTCTTTTTTGGTTCAACTTGAAGCTTGAAATTCTGCACACCAAATCAGTGTTAAGAACACAAGGGAAGAAGACCCGTAGCACTGGTGCGCACCCTCCCTTAATGTATGCTGGGAATTGGAAACAAGTTCACGAGGGCACCCGTTCGATCCGGGGCGGCTCATGCATTCGAGCTGTGTCACATTTAAGAAAAAAAATTAATTTCCTGTGTCCTTCATTTATTTCTCTCGGCTCGCCCGGAGGTTGACACCAAATTGTTTTGTCTCTCCTCTGAATCATATTTTGGGTCAGGTCATGTGCGCTCAAAACCCCATTTTTGTTTGGCTCCCATCTGAATCACGATTTTGATAGTTCAAGCTCGAAATTATACTCACAAATCAAGCCTATAAATGAGGCAGGAAGAGACCTGTAGTGCTGGCGCGCACCCTCGCTCAATTCAGATGTTGACAATTTGATGAAGGCACCCGTTCAATTCGGGGTCAGGTCATTCGCGGTTTCTTGCTATTTTTTCTTTTCCCTCATTTGTTTTTTGGTCCAAGCTCGAAAATTATGCTCACCAAGCATCAATTCTCAGCCAGAGGAAGAGGACCTGTAGCACTGGCGTGCATCCTCACTCAATGGATTGTGTCTCCTTTAAATTCATGAGGGCACCCGTTCGACTCGGGGGGCGGGTCATGTGCGCTCGAAACCCCATTTTTGTTTGGCTTCCATCTGAATCACAATTTTTTCTCTCAAGTAGGAGGTTGAAAACATGCTCACAAATCAGGTGTAAGGATACGGAGGAGGAAGACCTGTGGCGCTGGTGCGCACCCTCACATAATACGTGGTGATACTCCGTCAATTCATGAGGGCACCCGTTCGATTCGGGGTCAGGTCATAATCGCACCTCATTTGTTTTTGGTTCAACTTAACACTTGAAAACCATGTACACCAAGCAACAACTACAAGACAGAGGAGGAAGACCTGTAGCACTGGTGCGCACCCTCCCTCAATAGTGTGATAGCCCCCGTTGACAAATACAAGGGGGCACCCGTTCAATTCGGGGTCAGGCCATTTGTGAAGTGCGACTGAGTTGTTTTGCCTCCCATCTGAATCACAATTTGTCAAGCCGGAGGTTGAAAATTATGTACACCAAGCACCAGTTAGCACACAGAGGAGGAAGACCTGTAGCGCTGGTGCGCACCCTCGATACATCATAGATCTCTGTGAATTCATGAGGGCACCCGTTCAATTCGGGATCAGCCTGAGGTCATATTAGCCTCTCTTCCTGAAATCTTTTTTTCCCTTATTTGTTTTTGGTTCAAGTTCGCAAATTATGCACACCAAACAATAATTAGCACATTGAGGAGGAAGACCCGTAGTGCTGGTGTGCACCCTCATCTTGTACGAAGGGAGGGAAAATTGTAAGAGGGCACCTGTTCGATCCGGGGGCGGGTCGTTCCCGGAATTGAGAATGTTTTTCTTGTCTGCCATTTTAAATTGTGGCGCTGGTGCACGCCCTCACCTTGTGTGTTGTTTGAAAGAAAGAAAAGTTGTAAGAGGGCACCCGTTCGATTCGGGGTCAGGTCATGCACATCTTTTATCTTTTTCTCTCTCCTTTTTTTGTTTTTGCTTTTTGGTCCAAGGCCAAAACTATGTTCATAAATAAAGCCTAGGAATTAGGCAGGAAGAGACCTGTAGTATTGGTGCACACCCTCCTCCACTCAATGTGCTGTATAGCTTTATGAATACATGAGGGCACCCGTTCGATTCGGGGTTAGGTCATTTGCGTCTCCCAATCTTTTTTTCCCTCATTATTTATTCCTGGTCCAAGCTTAGGATTATGCTCATAAACCCGGGGTAAGGAATGAGGCAGAAAGAGACCTGTAGTGCTGGTGCGCACCCTCCCCCAGTAGCTCTTCCCACTCAAGGATTGATGAAGGCACCCGTTCGATTCGGGGTCAGGTCATGCGGTGATTGGAAACTCAACTTTTTTCTGTGTGCTGTCTGAATCACACAATTTATCAAGTTAGACGGACACTGAAAAGTGTGCCAACTCACAAATGAGGTGTAGGAACAGGAGTGGAGAAGACCTGTAATGCTGGCGCGCACCCTTGCTCAATAATCCTGTTCTATTTCCAATTGATGAGGGCACCCGTTCGATTCGGGGTCAGGT